AAATATTTTCTCTGCACCACATCCGATGTACAATGCTACTTGTTTCTGGTTTTCACAAAGGGAAGGGAAATTCTAATCTTTAAAAAAAGGGGGGATGGGCACAAGGTGGAAATTGAAAGGATACAAATACAAGCACAGACTGTTAGCACAAAATAATATATTCCCCCAACCAGGTGTATTTTAGGGTAAAAACAGAAAGCAAACAAATAATTTCAGAATTGGAAGAGCAGAAAAAACAGGCACATAACCATCCTTGTTTGGAAATCATGTTTGTTTGGAGGTGACAGAGTAACTAAGATTGTAAATTTTGTATTTATGAACATATAAACAAATAATGGATTCCATGTCAGATACAAAGGAAGTGACAAAAAGAATTAAAAACCTAATTTTACCCAGGCAATAGTAAATACCAAGGAGCTGTGAGATGACAGGCAATAATGTGGTCTCAGTGATGTTATTTCCATGGTAGAAAAAATGAAGACATTGACTTAAGGACTGAATCATTCATTCAAGAAAAGGATGTTTATCTTCACAATTGGGTTGTCAATATATATAGAGAGAACAAGTTCAAATTGGCATTACGTTAGAGCAAATGAAACATGCATTCTAGTGACTTTTCAAAAAGCTCACTCCAGGCTTTATTCATTCATATCTTGGCAAGACAGGCCAACAGAGAAACATACATTCATATAAAAGGTGGCAAGTATAAGCAGCACCATGTCCTATCCTAGAAACAAGCATTCTACCATGCAGTCACATCTCACCAAAGCTTCATTGTATATGAGACATGTATAAAAAGACCTGTGTCAAAAAGTAGTTAATGTTAACCTGGGATCCAATCTAGCTACGGCCAAGTGCTATAGAAATGTCTGTACTGTGAGTGACGTTTCTTCATGGAGAAAAACAAGTGGATAAAATACTCAAAGAATATCTCTGTAAGTCAAAAAGTTAATCATTTTATTCATGTTCACCATTTTTCCCTTCTGTTTTTTTTTATATGAAATAAGGGTTAATGACATCTTGCTCTGAAACTAAGTGACCTAACATACCATTATCATATTTTCATATTTATATTTAATTGATTTTATTTTCCCTTTTTAAGGGCATATAAATTCAGCTCTATTGCAGAGCACATGGCAAAGTTATATGAATCAGTGCAACATTCTAATTTGTGATGTATCTGTCCTACACTGTAGGTTTGCCCTTGAACATAAGGGCACATTGAGTGCAAACTTGAATATCATTCCCAGTCCAATGTTAATATAAGATAAAGACATACTGCTCTTTAATGTGAAAAGGCATAGAATCTTCAGAAATCTTCACAAATAAACAGCTTTCATATGCTAACTTTTTATACTTATTATGCACTGACCATGAGTTACTGGTATGCCCTCATTTTCATTAAAGAGCTTTAGTTATGAGTAGCTGTGAACACTGTGTTACAGCACTCTTTATCTTATACCCTTACTTACCAAAAAGAATTAGCATTGTTCCAAAAAATGGTGCATGTCATGTCCAGTTACAAGCTCGCAACTGTGTTTAAAAATTGAAAGCTGCTATTTCACTACTCTATCAGAAAATTGACAGAAATTTTACAACTTCACAACTGTTTTCCACTCCATTTCTGTGAATTTGTCAAACAGCGATTGTTCGTAGGCTTTATATACTATTGGTTTATGTTTCAAAGTAGACATAAGCATAGACAAAGAAATAATTGTAATTGGATGTTATTGATCTGACCTTAAATATCTCAAAATTATTTCAAAATTACACCAATGGAAACAAATGAAAACTGGTTTGAGTTGTACATGAAAGACAAAAGTTATGGTTCGATGAGACTGGAATACTAAGGCATCTTCTTTGCTACTATGCCAAGTGTTTTGTGTTACATGATTTTTGAGGTAAATTTCTATACTAAGGAAATGGCTTTTCTCAGAAGATGCTAACATTATATAACTTTCCAATTGAGGTTACCAAACACCTAACTGACATTTTTAGTCTATAGGGCAATGTATGATTATCAGATGTGTTTATGCAGGGTAACAGCTAATGACCACTGGCTAATTATATACATTGATATATCACATACTCATCACTAGGGTGAAGAGCTTGAAGTTGCATTTTTCTCTACTACTTTTATATTTGCTAAAGTAAAATTTCCAATTGTAATAAGGAATGCTATAATGTTGAATTATTTTACAAAGGACTTACTTTTCCTCTTCATTTCTGTTATATTTAATAAATGTACTATTTAATTTTCTTGTTTATGGTGTGATGTCCCTGGTTGCTGCCTTCTTTATTATATAAAGTTCTAATTTTTAAAATATAACTGATAAACTTTTCTGATGTAGCTGTGGTTCCCTCCTAGTCAACATGGAACCTGTAAAATAGATACATATGCTCTGGAAGTTATGTCCTGTGGTCACAGTTAGTCGTTATCATGAAGGCTCATGAAATGCAGTGAAATGGTTCGTTTCTCTGATATTATTGACTTTAAGCATTTTGTGACATCATATATTGGCTGAGATTGCACTTACAGCTATTTGTAATAGCTTATCTGAATTTGTACATTTTTGGTTTAGATGGTAGGATCTGTTTGACATCTGTACTTTGAAATATGCTCTTGAGAGCATCAAACAAATTAACTGTTTGCTATGTTTGCAAAGATTTCACCACCATCCATGAGGTTGTCTCAGTATATGCTACAATCTCAAAGGCTCTATACCATCAGTAAATTACCACATTTGTTAGTTTCTGGAAATTATTCTAAAACTAAAAACGAAAATCTTTTTCATGACTCTTGTGTTAATTCAGTCTATTTGATTATAATATTCATTCATCTTCAGATAGCACATAGAGTTTAGTCAATATGGACACATTGTTTATTCTTCTGTAAGAGCCACAAAGTGTGGCTATGTAGTTGTACCATATTAGTTATACTAGCATAATGTAGAACTTGAAACTATTATATTACTCTCACGAGGATCCAATATATATCCATCACCCATGTATTGGAACTACCAGTGAAGCTAGGCAATGTTCTCGCCTACCACATTGCATTTTAAATCACCAACAGAAAAGGAATAAAGATAAATATACAGTATACGAAACAGACAAATTATGTGTCAATAAAAAAAGATCATAAGCAATCTGGCTAGTAAAAGTAACGTTTACTAATTTCATAAATCAATCTCTATCCTCTATTACTTAGTAATTATTTTTTGTAAATTACTTAGTAATTTATTACATCTGATTCAGAAAAGCCTTGCCCTCTGATTTACAACAGAAGTTGTCCTTGCTAGTTATTATATAATGTTCTCTAATTTAAGTTACCTTTGCAATTGTAAAGAGTATCTGTATTCACCTGTTCTGATTGCCATGTCAGCCGACACATTGTTCTCAAACAAGTTAATAATTAAATTCACCTCCTCTACGGCTCTCATGTAGATGTACTGCTTTAGTGAGAATACAGACTGATTGGCTATTTTAATACTTCATTTAATCCAGTTAGTAATAATATAGAGTAATAGTATTTGGCTAAAATTATAAACTATATAGTTAATTTATGTAAGAAACATTACCTTGGTTACATTTGTATTTATATTAAAATAATGAGAACTAATGAAACAGAAGGAGAAATATTTTTTATGATGGTGACTATGTTTTCATTTCAATTTGGGAAACCCTAGGTCTGAATTTTCCTTGCTCTTAGTGGTGATGTGATGATGAAAAATATTTGACAGGTCTCTGTGGATAAGTAACTGGTACATTATATTGTTAATTCATGGAAATGTATTCCATGTTGTTGTGGAATCACTATTCACATGTGCTAGACCAATTAGTCACTTTCTCTTTTGCTATTCTATTAGGATTGAGACTTTTTTCCAAACTCAAGTGGAAGAGGCGTGAGCAACCTTACTCATAAGTACCCAGAGTATAATAAGCAAATAGAATCCCAATGTTTGTGATTATGTTGTCCTTAATGTTTTCTTATCTTTTGTAGTCTCACAGACTAAAAATTTAAATATTCCAGTAAAGAGAGAGGCCATATATACCTTTTCTTATCTCATCTCATTGAAGTAAATTTGACCCAACACTTATCTATGACAGTCCAGAATCCAAGTATAATGATAACCCTTCCCTTCTTAATGCTATGATTATTTTCTAGCCCTTATATACTTATAGTCATATGATGAATCAGGATACTGTGGCAAATGAGTAAAGAGGCAAAAGATTGTTTCTTCAGTTCCTTTCTCATTTTTGAGAAAAAAAAATTGTTTTCACTGCAAGTTAATGGAATTCCTCAATGATTCACACATGTCCCAAAATGACATTGTTCCTCATTTCTATCTTTAGCAAAATATATTTCCAGTTATTTTTTTCTTGACATCAAGGTTCTAAAAGGATTAAACCCTCCCACAAGTAAACACTGTATAAGTGAGCTTATGTATACAGTCCTCCATGCTCAGTAGAAGTGACTAACTCTTTATAAAATCAGCATCATCTAGGATGGAAGCACTGAAGTAAAGCTACAGGGCTGATTCTTATCATCCTCTCTTGTTTTCTTGGCCCATACATACATAATCTCCAACATCTTGTCAAAATACAATCTGCATTGCATAATGTTTTGCTGTAAAATCATTCCTCTTTACTAACTGTTCTTTTTTCTTAGCCTTACATTATATATGTTCAGGTTGTAATAATTAACAATCTGTAAGGCTTTGCAGCATGCCACCCGTGATTACAAAATATTTTTCCCAACCAAATCATAAACGTAGTTTAACCGAAAGGCATTCTAATTTTCATGCTATGTTGAGTATAAATATAAATTCAAGGCAGTCACTATCCATTTCCAAATAAGAATGTATACCTACACTCATTAAAAATCATCTGGAAATGTGTATTATTAGCAAATGAGTAAGAAATTTTCACTAGTATAAAATTCCTGCTTTATATAAAAGCCACACTGGCCATTCAAGTATTTTGAGGTTTTTTTTTTCCCTATAGTTTTATATTTGTCTAAAATGATGAATTTAGACTTGAAATTATATTAAAGAAAAATTAAAAGTCACTTCTACCTATAGGGCATTTTTAGAGTGTGCATGTAAAGAGCAAAGTGTCCATCTGCAGATCCACCATTCAACACTCTTTTTCTCTCCACTCGAAGGAAACAGCTCATGCTTACTAGGTTTTTAGAGAACTAACAATCCAATGGAGAAGCAACACCAGATTTCTTTCAGTTTGTGCCAGTTTGCAAGTTAAAGGTCAAAGGGCAAAGACACAGAAGAGGACTCTTCAAGGAAAATTTTCACAGAAGACAATGTTTAAGTTGTTAATGACAGTCAACAGATCAATAATCAAGTTCAAGGCAAGCTGTTCATTGTTTCAAAAGCTAATCCCCTCAAAAGCTGGCTTTCACACAAAGCCAATGTCTGACTCATGGGGTGCATTCCTTCTGACCATCTCTAATGAGTTCACAGCCCAGTGGCTGTAAAGCCTTTCACTGCAAGAAGCAGCTCCTAAAAATCAATAAAGAGGTCTGTCAGTTGCTGACTTTTCTCTAGGAAAAAAATATTGATACAAACCTGCTCTGCAGGTCACATGAAAATGACAATACTGCTGTTAGGACAAATTACACTCAACAATGAAATGCTTTGGTGGTCTCTTGGCTCTGTCAGTGATCAAATGGATGGCTAAATGCCAGAAGCCACACTAACCCTTTGAGAACTATGGCTGACATGCAATAGGTAATGCACTAGAGGATATTCATGCAACCTCAGAGTCATCATTTTAAAATGGCAATGCTAACTCTTTGTACCAAGGCAAATTGAATTTCCATGCAATGGATTTTAAAACAGAAATTCAATATGTCTAAAAAAAAAAAAAACAACCACTTATGCTATTATAATTGGCCATTCAAATAAAATTTCACTCTTATAAGATACTTAATAAAATACCTTTTTATTTGCCAGAAAAATTTTTGGCAAGTAACATCATTTCTGCATGTTAAAAATGCACTTCTATTGCATTGTAACTCACTTAGAAATTACACGGGGTTATAGGATATCTGTTTTAAAAGCCTGAACTTCTTGAACCTGTGTCTGTTTTCACCATTGCCCAGTTTTATAATTTACCACATAGCAATCCTGAGACTCTGGAAGCTGGTCTGATAGTTCTCAAAGGGTTACACCAATGTATTACTAGTGTCACATAACCTTATAAAATAACTGTCACTTTAAACCACTTTAGAGACATACTGCTTCTTGCTCTGCTTATAATGAATATTCCTGACAGACCCATGGAAGGCCTGGGGCAATGGCCTAATACAATTTGGGGAGATTATCACAATGATGTAGGAGTAAGGTGGCAGGAGGAGGTTCGGAAACACTTTAAAACAAAACAAAGCTCCTGTTTGAATATAACTATGAATATAAATGTGATGAAACATTGAGGACAGAGCTGAGAACAGCTGTATAAAACGAAAAATGGATGTATTATTAAGGCTGTTACTATATTGCAGATATTTTGGCCCCTTGTTTGTTGGAAAATGGCTGTCCCAACAGTCTAAAGTCCTGCAAGTGTATTCCAGATCTCCCACCTGACAAAAATGAAGCGTAGGAGACTCTCCATAGCAGTCAGAGAGCTATCTTCTTTGGAGACAAAGCTGTTTTGGGTCTTCACACTTTCCTGAAAGTTCAATTGTGGGTTCTTTGTTTAACCTTTTTGTTTCCTTTGCTTTAAAGCAAAAATTCGTGGACTTTCTGTTTTGCTTCCCCACCACCCCCCAGAAATGGGCTCAGATTTCAGAAGGAAAATAATATTAGAAACCTTTAAGAAGAATCTTTTCTTCTTTTTTTTCCTCTTCTTTAGTTAATCCTGAAAATTTACTGGGCATTGAGCGTGCAGAGGAAAGGCCTAGAACTGAATGACAAAGAAAGACAAAGGACTGAAGAACGGCAGATACTGTGCATCATGGAAGCTTCCCCACGAGTGTATTTCCACTCATGTGCAGGACCAGCAACCCTCTGGGTTTGAAAGGTCAGCCTCGAATCAGGCTGCCACAAGCCTGCTCCTAGCTAGGAAACAGCATAACAGCTCTTGTCTTGAATCTCAAGTTACCACAAACTCCTGGAAAAGAAAGAAAGAAAAAAACCCTACATCACACCCACTCTTGCATAGAGCGTTTACAGTACAGTATGTGGCGGGGTGTTCCTTTCCTCTTGAACTGGAACACAGTGTAAACCAATACAAGGAGGCATAAGGCCAAGATGCAGGGGATGACAATAGCTATGGCTTTCACAGTGCTGGCTGTGTTGTCCAGTTTGATGACAATGTCTACATCGTCTGGTGGGCTGTGTCCTTCTTTCTCTCTGTCTGTTGGTCCATCACAGCCCATAAAATCCTTGAGGATAGATCTGGGATATCCAGGTTCTACCTTGAGTATCTGGTTGTTGAATTTCCAATACTCCTTTCCTTTGTAGAAGTACGTAAAGCCTGGGGAGAAACACACACACACACACACACACACACACACACGATCATGTTATTTGTGAAAATGAGTATGTATAAAATTTTTAATTAAATTGGCTAATTCTTAAAAGATTTTTAAAGTCCCTTAACCTTTGCAGAAAGGAAACATTATCCTAAGCTCAAGTGTCCATCGAAATGACTCTAGCTGCTGTGTTCCAGAACTGTCTTCTAGTGCCCATGGAAAACTCAGTGGAGAGAGAAAACTTATGTGTGGGGAACTGTTCAAAAAATAATGCTAGTCCACATCAGAAAGAGAATTTTACCCTATTGCTTGCTTATAGCATTGCTGTGGCAGCGTTATACATTAGCGTGATAATATTAACCTATATTGAAAGATAGGGAAACAACCTTATCAATTCAAGCACGGTTTGCCCTCAGGTTTGTATTGAGTTCCTGGTACAATACATTATGAGGAGGCTTTTCCATGTATACTCTAGGGAAATTTCTTATCATCTTAGTGTCAGGAATCATTGTGCTCCTCCTAAACGATAGGTGTGCTTTTGTCATTTGGACAAGAAATTGTAAAAAATCATAGCATTGTCCGCTCGTGATTTTCATATGAAGTATTTATAGTATTTTGTGGATTAATTGTATTTCTGGCTCCAGGTCAAGTACACTTTGTCTCCGTTGTCCTCTAAATTTCTTATTTACTTACTGATGTTAAATTTATATCACCTACTACATTTTATTGAACTTTTTTTAAATATTTTATTTTATTTTTTAAAATTTATTTATTTACTTATACAAGTACTGGGTACAGTCAGAAGCGCGGGAATGTGAGGGAATTCACCAGGGCCAGAGCGGGGAGCAGAGCAGGCAGAAGGACCCAGGTACACTGCTGAGGGGAGCAGCAGGCAGCAGGAGAGGTCTGCGCGCCATGTGGGACCCTCTGGTGGCCGGGGAGCAGCCGGGGATAGAACCGGTGCTGCAGAGGCTGTGGGCAGCTTCGCAACCCAGTGCTCAACTGCTGCGCCACCAGGGAGGCCCCCATTTTATTGAACTTTTAAAGTCATTAATGCATTCAGAGTCAAAGATTAATACAGTATAAGTAAATGTGCAGTTCTATCTTTAATCCTTCCAGCTAACCAACTTCGTGGAGGGCGGGGGGAAAGGTAGGTGGTATATGGAAGACTTGACTAGCAGTACACACAGTTTAGGTTCCAAAACATTATGGATGCGGGTAATAGACTTGGAAAGCTTGTGACAATTAAGTGCGTGTGTGTGTTAGGACTCTTTTGAAACTACTGCTGTTTTTTCGTTGGGCAAATATCCAGTTTTTTCTTTTCATTTATAGCTCCTTCATGTGAACTTGTTTGGTTTTTTTTTGGTGATTGCACTACTGAGACTTAATTCTTACTTTGAGATAAAATCCAGAGACAGAAAAGAAATATTTAAATGTTATAATTACTTAAAAGCTGTATTTTGAGAACCATCTATTTTAAATAGCATGCTTAATTTTGGGATAATAATCATTAATGAGGGTTTTCTTTTTCCTGCATTATTGTGCACTTATTATGGAAAAATCACTGTGTTAACAACTTAGTGAACGACATCTTTAAATCTTCATAGTCACTCAGCGATGTAGAATTAATTACTTATACTTTACAAAGATACTGAGGTCTTGAGATAAAATAATATGCCCAAGTCCTGGTGAAAACAGGATTTAAATCTTGGTCTAGTTTTAGAGCCTGAATACTTAATGATTTTTCTAAGACTGGGTCCTTTAGAGATCTGCTGTCTATTAAAAAATATTCTGTTAAAAATCACAGATTGTGATAGATTACACCCCTGGAACAAAAAACTCTCTAACATCTCTCAAAAAATTCAGCTAAGATAGACCATTGCTTCAGGTCATTTCATTCTGGAAATCATTTTGTTCAATGCCATAAAAATCTGCTGTTGCTTTTAGTTTCGAAGGGCAGTTTTGCAATCAGAGTAACTTGCCAAGTGAAAACAGGTGTATGTAGATTCAAATGTTTCTGTAGGGAGCTGGTATTTGATCACACTAATGAAATCCAATGTAATTATTCTACAAGCTTGGATGGGGAAATGTTGATGGCCTGCCAAATATAGTACATTAGATGATCATAGTTGAATAATGGCACTGATCTAGAATTAAACAGACCTTCAAAACAGGTGAACATACTTCTTGTATTTATAAACTAGAAACCAACAGCTGTATGTGTCCTCATCTTTAATTTTTAGTCAAAGCTAATTATTATGAAGCCACTGGGTATCATACAAAAATTCAGAGGTTTCTATTTCATACTTATCAGGTCTGCTGGCCAAATTTTATAGTAATACATTCCATACACAGGAGTAGAATTGTAGTTTACTGGATACACTTGTTTAAGAAGTCTAGTTAGTAGGAATTTGATAAAAGAATTTGAAAAGAGGGCCTCCCTGGGGGCTCAGCTGGTTGAGCACAGCGCTTTGAAGCTGTCTGCAGCCTCTGCAGTGCGGGTTCAATTCCTGGCCAGGCAGGGAGATTCCCACAGGGTGCGGCAGACCTCTCCTGTTGCTCCCGTTGCTCCCCTCAGCAGTGCTTTCGGTCTATCTGCCTGTTCTGCTCCCCACTCTGTCTCTGGTGAATCCTCTCACCTCCCGCGCTTCTGGCCTGTACCCCAGCTATTGTATAAATAAAAAATATTTTTTTTAAAAAAAGAATTTGAAAAGAAGTAGCATAAAATCTTGAAATATGTAAAATGATCACACAAAATTCATCTTGTTTAATAACTTAGGGTTTTTTACTCATTTATGAAATGTCGGTTGGTTGAAAAAACTGTTTATATATTCACATATTTTTTGCTTTTCACAGTAACTTTGCTATAATAACCTTATATGTGTTATGCTTATTAAGAGTGTCAACATCATATGGATTCTTTTTTTTTTTTTTTTTGTGGGACCCTCGCTGGCGGCCAGGGAACGAATCTGCTGCAGAGGCTGCAGGCAGCCTTGCAGCCCAGTGCTCAACAGTTGCACCACCAGGGGAGGCCCTTCATATGGATTCTTAACTGAATTATCATTTTTTGGGAAATTCTGAGAAAGAAATCAATGAAGTTGTAATGTATTATTTAGTAATTTCTTTTTCTGTATTTGATGGGGTTTTACTAGTGACTTTTCTATTGCTTGGTCCTAAAATGTAAAGTGAATTGTCTTCACCAGCTGCCTTGTATAGCTCAGAAGTAGATGCTCCCACAAAGCAGTGCCTGTGTGTTCTCTCATTTCCATTGTTACGTGTTTATTAGTAGGAAGTTAATTGTTGTTTAATAAATGTGAATGAATAAATAGAATCTTTTGGGAAACTTGTTTGAATTGTACTTGTAGATTTTTACTAAGAAAATGGGGTGGGGGAAGAATTCATAATCAAATCAATAGAATCAAGAGTCCAAGCTTTTTAACAGGCTATAAGTGGAACTGGAATCAGTAACATGAAGTGCTACAGTGTTAAAAGCAGAATCTTGTCTTAACCTTGATTGCATTTTCTAAGGGGAAAATATAGAATATTGGGGGTTTGGAGGACTAGATAACAATTAATATAGAAACAATTTGAAGGAGGGGAATGCAGAGATTCTTTACAATAACTTTAATATGTGTAAAATCTCATGTTGTTGTTTAAAACACTATCAAATAATAAATGCTAAAAATAAATCATACTACTATATCTGCATGAGTCAAACCTTATTTGGATTAATGCACCTATTTTTAGGGACTGAAGTAAAAAGCGAAACAAAAAAAAATTGTTAAATTAAGATGGCTATAGTTGAAAAACAGAAGGGGGATGACTAGGGAAGCTACATTTTTAGAAAGCCTGGGTTTGTCTTGTAAGACAAAATGAAAAATTTAGCCAGACATGACAGGTTAACAATGGATTTAATGGTATAATGTAGAAAAACATGTTAACCTTTCCCAGTGTATTAGAGCACATTCAGTAAGGCTGGAACAGTCTAGTTTCACGCCTCAGATAAGAAATCTTACCACTTTTAATATCTTTAACAGTTTTCTAAAACTATCAGTAGTTGGTGTTGATTTCCTAATTTATAAATAATAATAATATTGAGATCAAGAGTACTTCTGTTGGACAATTAAATAAGATAATGAATTTATACAACACAACTGATACATGGTAGGTACTCAATAAATGATATCAAGCATTTATATTTCATTTGTAAAGATGACAGAATTAATTTCAATAGGTAGTATAGGAAGGCACACTCCCTCTTAAACTGAAAAATACCCTTCAAAATCTATAGCTGAATCTTAAGCACTGGAATTAAAAAAAATATACCATTATGAGAGGATTTCAAAGAAGAAAGTGCCTTCCTTGGTGGATAGGTAGGCAGTTGAAGACCACTTTTAGTGCTCTATTGTCATTGATTTTATAACTATATAATATCATGTGTACAGCTCTAACCTTTAGGGAATTACTATTAGTAAAATTTTATAAATATTAATGTTTATTTAATTTGAACTTGTTTTTATTCTTATACAAAAAAGGGAATAAAGTCACAAGCATGAGACATAAGTAAAGAATAAAATGTGGAGTACTGGCTATTAGTAGACTACTTAGACCAAAACTTTCAGCTTGGTTGTTATTGCTACTCCCCACAACAAAGGTTTTAGACAAATTTAGAGTTTTGGAAAAATAAGGTATTGCCACCGATTTGTGGAATGAGTCTTTTGAGTAATGGAGAGTATCAAAGTAATTCAACAATTAATATTTACTGAATATTTGGCATGTGACTGCCTATGAAGAGTTTATACCAGAGGGGATGGTGAGCATATAATATGATCATTGTAACATGAGATTTTGAGTGCAAGTAATAGAGTACCAAAAACAGATATTCAAGAAAGATTTCCTGAAAAAGTGAAATGTGAGTGCATTTTGAATACATCAAAGAAGTGGCTCGACCAGGAAAGATCTACAAGACACAGATGTGTAGAAGTTCATCTGTAGCTGTTAATCATTTAAATTGATTTTCCCAACATGTTTTGTTCCTTTGTCAGTATTTTATAATGTTATTCTTTGCTATATATATATATAAAACATGAAATATATATAAATATATATTTATTATATATGAATGCATAATAAATATATAAATATATATAAATAAATATATTATATATAAATATATATAAAAACATGAAATTCTGAATATATGAGAACTGCTTTTCCCCTTAAGAGAAATGTTTTTCCCCTTATGTTTTTCCCCTATATGAACTGTTTTTCCTACCTTGAGGTAGGAAGATAGTGAGGAAATGCTCATGAATATATTATCATGGATTCTCAGTTAAAATTTGTACAACATATAAAACTGAGTATCAGTTTTCATAGAGGTGGAAATAGTATTTTATCAATTGTTATTATAATATAAAAAATACAATTAAATAGTCTAATTTAAAAAATTTTAATATGTTGTTTCAGTTTTCAAAAATAGCTTATGAATTATGCAGTTCAGAATACATTTTTCTAGTGAGTGGATATTGTAAATTTTCAGAGACAAGAATTGAAAAAATAATAGAGATTGGGACAGCAAGAAGTTTTTGCTGTCACAAAAAATTTCTACAGAAATCGATATTTCAGATATTAGTGATCTTGAAAATAGAAAAGGAGAAAATGAAAACAGTTGCTACGCTAAGGAATTAAAGTAATGTGTACTTTTTCAATCTTTAAAACAATTCATTACTTATTTTAAAAGTTACACTCATTCTTAAAAATAAACAAATGAGAAACCATTATCAAGCCTGCTAAAGTTAATAACCAGTAAGAATTCTGCTTAACTTTCTTTGAATATACTTTTGTACAGTGTTTGCTAACTTTTACTGGAAGCTGTCTATAGACTTCTGTGAATGTTAGCTAGAGCTGGTTTTATCTGGGGAGTAACAACATCCTCAGTATGACCTCAAGACATCTCTCTCCCTGTCTTTCTTCCTTGATGACAGCTGTAATTTCAGGGGTGACATCAATTTTTGCCTTCCGTGTAATCACCTTTCACCTTTTTTGTTTTTTTCATTTGCATCTGCATATTGGTTTTTGTCCACCATATTGGTCTGATTTTACTACCTCTTATACATTCAACTTCAATCTCTAGTGTCTTTTTCATTTCAGATAGGTATGTTTTCATTTCCATCTGTTTCTCTTATCTGTCACAAACAGCTATATCTTAACTTGGTCCTTTAATTCTGTGAACCAATAGAATAAGCAAAAAGCTATAATTTTTAGCAAATGCCATTATTGGGTCTCCAGGTTGTTTTGGACTATGCCTATGCCTAGAGTGTTTGACTTGTGGGAGAGCATCACAAAGAATGCAATGTATTATACATAACTGGTTAAAAGGCACTTTGTGTACTCTGACTTTTGGGGTGGATATTTATTCCTTCTGGATCTCATATCCTTCAAGTTTGCACTCAGTGTAAACTTTTCTTAAACTGATAATATACTGATAGTCAATCATAATTTTCAGTGTTGGCATTGATTGTTTCCCCCATATATTAATTAATCATTTTTGCTCTTACCTCCCTTTGAACATACTTAATTTTATTCTTGAAAAAGAATGTTTATTTTTTTCTTATTCCATGGATGTTATAGACTCTTCATGCTATTGATGACCCACATGATATATTAATTTTTTCACATTCTTATTATAAATTATTTTTAATATGCTTTTTCTCTAGTTCAGAATGATATCTCTTTCCTTTGTTCTAGAATACTGTGTATACATTTTCTGAATTATTTTTATGGCTTACTCCTATGTACTAATTCTACAAGAGGAGAAAAATGCTATTTTACATCTGTTCACATTTAGAAGAATACGGATTATCCATTGCTTGGCTAACTTTGTACTGAACCTCTGTATGAAACTCAAATCCTGAGATGGAGAGTAAGGAACACAGCCGCTCTGTGATGAGTTTGTTATTAAGCAATCATACAGCTACTCTTGCCTGATTGTACTGAACTGAGATCTTTGTGCTGACACTGAGCCAAAGGAATACTTGAAAAATAGCAATTCTCAAGTCACTACTATGAGGTACTTTGTCTTCAGTCCATACTTAACAACATATCCTCCTTATGACTAGTTCCTGTTCCATGTATGTTTGTTATAATTATCTTTATAGGAATTTTAATAGAAAGATAGGCAAGGTTACTTCAGAGATACCCATGACCGTCATTTAAAGATGTCTATTTTTTTCACAAACTAAAAATAAATTGAGGTTAAAAATATTGGAACAGAATATTAAATGCAAATCTAAATTAAATCTAAACTAAATCTAAATTAAATCTAAATTATTGAAATATTTAGAAATTCATGAAATACATTACATGCATATTACATACCATTTTCTTTGTGCACAAAGGCTCCCTGAGGAGATTCAGGGATACCCTTCCAGACTGTGATTGGTTTGGGATAGCCAGGATCCATGGTTTTCATTTCTTCACTATATCTCCAATATCTAAAATGGATAAATGATAAAACCAACAACACATGCATAGGGAAGGTCATTATGCATACAAACAGTAACAGCTAACATTCATTAATCTTTGCTATATGTTACCTCTATACCTGTTAATGATTTATAGAACTGATTTTAATCACAGGAAAGACAGAGGACACAAAACATTTATTTTGTCTTCTTTCCTGCATAAGTTAAAAAGGGCTATGCTAATGTGTATTTATTTAGCCTGCTAAAATTAATTTAAAAAATACTAGCCAAATACATATGCTTTCTAAATGCATTTATAATTCAAGGAAGAATCACTAACCTATGTATAAGCCAGAAGCGTTCATGATTAAAAAAAAATCTTTCTTAGGTAGAAAAACATTTTTAAAAGATAGTCTTATGTAGAGTCTTCATCTATTTTTCATTCTTTTATTCATTCAACAGATATTTACTGAGTAGCTACTATGTCCTTGGCTTTACTATAATTTCTAGATTTACAACCATGAAAAAAACATGGCCCAGCTCATATCAATATTATATTTCAGGATATTTAGAGGCTATAAACAATAAAATTATTTATAATAAATATATATTATGACAGGAGGAAATAAGATTTATTAAGGAAACAAAGAAGATTTAGTTACCTAGAAGTATGGAGAAGTCACTTAAATCAGTGGACAGAGAGGTACTTGCTCATGAACTAATATTTGAATAGAGAGTAAAAAGATGTGACAAGCAACACATGAAGTGTGGGGGTAGAATACTCCAGATAAAGGAACTAGCTATTGAAAGTTCCTATAAAACGTGAAAGTTTAGAGTAATTGATTATTTACAAGGAGGACAGTATGAGTAGAAATGAATTTATAAAGAAAAGAGTAGGTTAGAGTGGGAACTGGGATCTAAGACTAATAGATCCTCGCTCTATAAAAAAGTCTTTGGAGAGATATAAAGTAAACATAGATGTTGAGCAAAGAGGTTGCATTTTTAAATCATTTTTTAAAAGAAGCATGCTGCCTACTGTGAGTTAATAAGGGAAGTAAAGTGCTAGTAACTAGACCAGTTAGGGTGTCATTGCAAAAATCCTTGGATTAGAATATAAACTGTAAAGATGATGAAAATTAGCGAAACTGGGATATATTTTGAGGGAAATCCCCAAGAGCTTATTAATGGATTGAATACAGGATGTCAGGGAAAGAAATTGAGCATACTTGAAAATTGGGGGCTTGAACATCTGGGAGAATAATAATGCCATTCAAAAAGATAAGGAAGCAGGGAAGGTAAATTGGGGAGGTTTGTAAAAATAATGGGTTTGGTTGTAGGTATGATAAATCTAAAGGCCTCCTAGATATCAAGGTGGAATTACTGAGACAATTTGGTGTATTAGTATAGAATTTAAGGCAATTATTTACTGGATTCCTTGGCATATGGAGAGTAAAAGAGATAAAAGCAAAACTCATCAAGAGTCAGAACACTTAGGCTCCTATCCCTTCACAGGGTAGTCCTTGAGCACTTGCACAGAACCAACCTGACTTCCAAGGAACAAAGTGTGAATGTCCCTCTTGGGATCACTCATTATTGTCAATATGTTCCACAAGTCAAACAAGTTTATATCCTGAATGTTTAAAAGGATTGACAAAATTGGGGTGAAACCATTGGTAGTTCACAGACCCATTGTATATTTCAGGACAGGCAGAATGCATTATTTTATTAAATTTCAGCCAACCTGGGGCCTCCCTGGTGGTGCAAAGGGTAAAGACGCAACTTATGAGGCTATTCGCAGTCACTGCAACATGGGTTCAATCCCCAGCCAGGGTGCTGCCCACATGGCGCAGCAGACTTCTGTCTCGTCCGCTGCTCCCCTCAGCAGTGTATTTCAGTCTGTCTGTGCTGCTCCCCACTCTGTCTCTGGTGATTCCTCTCACCCCCCACACCTCTGGCCTGTACCCCAGTTCTTATATGCATAAATAAATTTTAAAAAATCTCAGCAAACCCATATCTTCATTATTCCCATTCGAGAGAAAATAATAGAGGACAAAGGGTAATAGGTAGACTATACTAAGTTCTGACTGATTTCAAAAGTCTTTACCATTTCCACTATACCTACAAATACATTTTTTCAAATTTACTTGATAATCATTCTATTTTCCACTAAACGTTTCTTCATTATCAGCTAAATCTAGTATTTCACCAACACAGGTTTGGGACGTGACACAATGCATTATCTTGGGATTAGGCATTTTGGGAGAAATATAAAAAGCATTTTCCATTCTTTTCTGGATATTTCCCCACCCCAAGCTAATTCTATATTTGCAGAATACTGGGCTTTTATGCAAAAGGTTTTGCTATAGATTCCTAGAAATCTTACTCAAGTAACATCTAGAATATTAGCACTTCCTTCATCTTTGGTGTTCATATGGAAAGGAGAAAAAAGGTATTATTTCAGGAAATATCTCAGTAAGTAAGATCGAAGACAGAGTTTACCCAAAAAAGGCAAGTAAAGTCTTATAGGTATCTATGACAGATTCTTATCACATGTTGCATGAGAACAGATCTGATAGAGAGATCAGGAGAGGTTTCACAGAGAAGCTCTGAGATAAAATAATGGTGGTGGGATCAATCATCTGAAGAAATCAAGTAGGCAGAATCATTAGTGATTGCTGTAAAGTTTCTAATGTATATTTTCTTTTACATCTTGTTCATGGAAGCATCTGCTTTTAAATTATTTCTGGACTTTCCTTTCTCACAGGAAGTGGAATTCACATTCTGAGGTGAATACAGAATGATTAATGTAGCTGAGATTATACTCAAAATGTCAAGATCTCTTTTCTGAAGTGAATATTTGAATGGGGTTTAAACAGTCATATATGTTAATTGGTTCCTACACTTGGCCAAAAATGAAAACCCTCACAGGGAAATAGTCAACTACTTAATTTCATGGATTTAAAGTAAGACTCTACCCCTCACACACACACCCTCTACATCTCTATAAGTTGAAAATGTACCTTACAATCAAAACTATGTCAAAATTTACTTGGCATAATTTTTCCTTCAATGGTAGATTAAATAATGACATACCATAAAATAAATGACATTTTGAGATGACATAAACTATAACTTAAAGTGAACTTTAAAAGTTTGTAACTTAAATATCTGGAATAATTTAAAATTCTTGGGACTATGGGATTGCACCCTGCATGTAATTGTAAAAAATATTACTACATATTGAGAAAACAGGTTTCTACTGTGAGAAATAATTACAACAATGTTCATGTAACAATAACTGTGTTTAATATTATGCTTCATAGTTATAAAATAAATTTATATACATACATTATCTTATTTCACTTAACCCCTTAACAATCTTTCATATTGCATAACATAGTGTTCTCCATGATGGTGTCACAATCTTAAATCATAATTCTCAGTCCAGTCAGTGATAGAGTATTGTATTATTAAAATTACTTAATCATTTTTGCTCTTTGTGAATGTTGCAGAGTTGAAAGTAAAACTAGCCCTCTGATTCTCAGTTTACTGTGGTTTTCTACCATGTTACTGCTAGTTTTCCCATGATATAATATTTTTATATTAATCCAGCTGCTATTCTTATTCCTTGTATTCTCACTAAACTCATAATGTTCATTGTTTGGGTACAGTTTTATTTCCTCCCTCTATTCATTCATAGACCATTTACCCACCAGCACTTTCTGAGCATTGAAATTATATACCAGGTACATAAGTTTTATAGAGATCTCATATTTCAAGAAAATATTAATGGAATGTGAATTTTGAAAAATTCTTATAGAAATGTAATTCTGGTATGAATTTGTCAGAATAAAGGCCCTCTCCTCTCTTTCTTTTCTCAGACAAAGCAAATTATCATTTTGCATCATTTCACAATTTGTGGAAAACTTGACTCTGACTTGGAACCTCAGGTTACCCGCTGTGTGTCAGTTTTGATGCATATGTAATAAACTTGATTGGGATTAGAGTCATCTAACTACATTCATAGTTTCTTATAAAATGTGCTAAGACTTATATGGTTTATATTTTAATTTCAAACATTTGAACATATTTGAATATGAACAAAAAGCTCATTGCATTCATTTTTTTCTCCCTGAAAAGTAAGTTCATGGGCTCATTGAGAAGTATACTAACATATTCAGATAGAACACTGTGCAAATATACAATTTTGTGGGTTTAAGATTTAGATGTTGTTATTTTAAAAATTTTGGAATTTTGTGCAGTAGCTTCAGTAAATGATGAATGCTACTTTAAATGAACCCTGTAGGTTTTTCTTTCTGATATATCAAGTTATCTCAACTGTAAATTAAGATTTCAATTGCTGATTCTTTGAAAGAAGCATTGTTAATATTTCAAAATAAATCGTAACTAGAAATGAGATTTATTCATCATTTTTAGATGTATTCATGATTCACATTCACAAAATATAAAAGTTGTCTGTGTACAATAAATTAGTTTTCTTAAATTCCTTCTGTGAAGAAGAAAGTATAGACATTTTTAAAATGACACAAATAATAGGAAGTTGCTGGATACTGAACTCAAAATGAACAAAAAGTGTCTGCAAGGGTTATTTCATATGTCTCAGCTACTTCTTTATTGATCCTACTTTGTCTCATTTCTTTACTTCAGAATCAAGACTACTTGCTTCTGTTCTTACCACAAAACACAGAACCATTTTTTTTTCCCTACCCAATAATCACACAATATTCCACTCCTCAGTAACATTTTTCAAAATGCATCAGAATTGAAACCAACTATTTTTATAGTGTTCGATGATTTACAGAACACATACCTTAAGTAAATACTTCATAAATACACACTATCAGTGTGTAGTGTAAGCTGGAGGAAATATGTATATTTTTCTACTTGATTATTAGTGCTGATCATCATAATAAATAATTAGTGAATTTTGCCTTATTTATTTGAAAATGTCTTAAAACGATAAACAGTTAAGCTAAAATAAAGTATGGAAATAGTCTTGGATATTTCTGTGAGAAGATTCTGAGATGATTTAGAAACATAGCATTTTAGAGTCAAATGCTATGAGGACCAATATGCATCCAAGTGTAAAACTATAGTATATTAAGAAAAGGGCAAGTTGGAATCTAAGGAATTGAGTTCTGTGCAACATGTGAAAAAGTGAAACAGTGGAAATTTTAATCTGAATGTACAGTTCTATTTAAAGATTCATCATATCATCTACTCTTCTTTAACCATCTCTAACTTGGGAGATTTCATATGGGTCCCTGCTTTCAATACAATTTATATGTCAATTACTCTCAGTTCTGTGCCTCTTCCTGACCTTTCCACTAAGACAAAAACTCAATTTCCGAAGTAATAATTTGACTTTTCCAACTGGAGTATAAACAGTGATCTCAATCTGAATGTAGACGTGTCAATCTCTTAATCCCCTTCTCTCAATATTCCTTTCTCTGCTCTATCCTCAGAAATGGCATGATCTATTCAGTTATTTAGGCAAAAAATCTAGAAGTTATCCTTGATTTGTTTTTTTTTTCCCCTTATCACAAAAATCCTGCCACAAGAAAGACTTGTTATATTACATTCAAAATGTACTCCATACCCCCATCCCTCTGCTCCATCTCCATTGCTACCATTCTATCCCACCGAAATATTCAAATAGCCTTCAAATATATTTCTTGTCTCCAGTTTTGCAGACCATTCTTGAGACACAAGTTATAATGAAGTTGTGAATATACATCAGCTCATGTCACTTTCCTGTTGAAACTCTCCAATGCCTTCCACTGTGGATTTTAGAATAAAATCCAAAGCATTTGCCACTCTGTATGATCACAACTGCTTATGTTTGACCTCTTCAACCACTTCCTCTATAAACAATAGGCACAATGCTGCTTCTGATTTGAACATTCCAGCATTATTACATTTGTACTGTTATGTCATCTACCTATAACACATTGTTCTGAATAGTGTTATGTGGCTGAAACTTTTCCCTACTCAAGTTCCCTCTCCATTACCCCCTTGACAAGTGAGACTTTCCCTGACTTCCGCACTAATTTCCAAGCCACAACTTACCACCAATGTAAGGACACAAGACTCTATCATTATCATTACCTTATTTTATTTCTTTGTAGCATTTTCCACTATTAAAATATAAGAATTATTTAACTGTTTACTGTTTACTATTTTCTCTTTAATAGAATCTAAGTGGAAGGGGAAGCCTCCACTACTATCCCTCTGTTACCTAACATATATGTGACATATATAGTATGTGCTGAAATATTTTTTGAAAATATTTTTTGGATGAATGAATGAGGGTTATGCCAGAACCAGTGTAGAAATCTGGAGGAAACAGGAATTAAACCTATTGAGAATGTAATGGGTTGTCTCAATTCAACCCATTACAAGGGCAGTCAGGTAGAGAAGAATGAGTACCTGTGAAAGATAATAGAGGGTGTCTAGATTTTGGTAGGAAGTGAAAAGATGCAAGGCTGATCTGAGACAGCATTTGAGCCAAATCTTATTTAAAATCATGCTGCATTTGCCTTGTAAATTATATAAATGATTCTGATTTTGAATGTTTTTCTCAAGTAATTGTACTTTTCAGCTCACCAGAGTATCCATCATTCCTTACTGCCTTATATGTTACTGTTGTATTCAGTATTAAAAACATTTTTTGTCTGCTCCCTTAAAGCTTTACATATGGACTAGATTGTCTCTTAAATCCCCTTCTGCTCCTAATCATACAGAAATAGAAAACTGCTAACACATATCTTTTAAAGCAGAAAGATGGCAGTGGAAGAAAGAAAAATATTGCAAGGACAAATAAATTTTCAGTTTTCTCTCAAAAATACACATGAATATATTTATCTATAAAAGGTCAAAAGTTATAATTATTGTAATTTGTTTATAAGGAAGAAAGAGTCACTGAATTGTTACATAAAAGTGACAAGCAAATGTTGTGTATATCTTCATAGTTTGATATCTTCTCAATCTACTTTTTAAATTATTTGTTTTTTTATATATATAATTGACATATAACATTATATTAGGTTCAGGTACAAGCTATAATGATTCAGGTCACTACCAGAATTAATTTTCTATCAATTTTTAATCTAGAATGAATATATTAATAAAAGTTATAACTTTGGAATTATATAATTATATGAAGTGATCTGTTTATTAAACATATACAACTTATGATATCTTATATAAGAACACCACAGAAATTTATTAAAATCCTGCTTTAAATATTCTTAAAACCTATAAAATTAATTAAGAAGGAAGAACTTAAAATTATTTCTATACATTTTGACATATTTTGCTTGCAGTTTCTCAAAAGGAAATAAATTATTAAAACTTACTCTATTTGCTAGGCTTTATTCTATCATAAATTTGGTATCTAACATTTATTGATTTCACTGACTTTAGGTAAATCAGATTTAATGTCTAAAGTGAAAATTTTCAATAAATGCTGAATTTATACAACGGAAATTTAAAATAAGTAGCACCTACACGAGTGAAAATCTGGACTATCTGATAATAAACTGCCAGTTTTTATTATCACTTCTGAAACCCTCCTTATGCCATTACATGAAAACTAAGCTTTCATATTCTTTTTAACAGAAATCTGTCTTCTCCATCTTTTGTTTCTACCCCTTTCTGGAAAAAAAAAAAAAAAGTGCAACTCCATATTGAACCTCCTTCTGAAAGAGTACATTCAAGCAATTAAAACCAGCTGGGAGGGTAGGAGGCGGGCATTAAAAAAAAAAAAAAACAGCTGGGAAATTAAACTCTAACAACCTTAAGGGTTGTTATTTTAAAGGATAAGTTATAGGTCTGCAGACTTACTTTCATTAGTGGTCACCATGCTGTAGCAATCTATTCATTCTTCTCTCAAACACTACCACATTTGTATCTTGCTGACAGTCATATACTTTTTGAGGCATTGAGTAGTATCTTATCCATTAATACCACTTTTTTTGTGATGGATCTCTTTTGTGACTTTGTAAAGAACATTTATCAAAACCTTAGCATCATGATAATCAATTAGAATCTATGACTATTTTGCTAAAGAAATATATGGAAATCTAGTGGGCAGAAAGTTAGAAACAAAATTTTAGTGGGCAGAAAGTTAGAAACAAAATTTAAAAGTATAAACTTCTATGCATTGAGGAAAATTATAAGAACTTTTTGTTCAAAGGTGAACCTTAATGTTAATAATGATTTGCAATTTAAAAATGCAAATCTCGGGCCTCCCTGGTGGCGCAGGCACTGAGCGCCACACTGTGAAGCTGTCCGCTGCTCTGCAGCGTGAGTTGGATCCCGGCCGTCCAGCGAGAATCCCACATGGCATGGCAGATCTCTTCTGTCTCCCCTCAGCAGTGTATTTCGTCATCTGCCTGTTCTGTTCCCTGCTCTGTCTCTGGTGAATCCTCTCACCCTCCCGCGCATCTGGCCTGTACTCCGGTTCTTGTATAAATAAATAAATCTTTAAAAAAAAAGAAAATGCAAATCGCAAAATAAAAAAATGTTCATAAACTTACATGTATTTCTCTTAAAGTTGGAGATATCTTATAGGGTCATGGTAGGCTAAGATTATAAAATAAACTCAACACCAGCTTTTTTGGGCATTAATGTATGTGTGTGTTTTAAATTTATTTACAAACACAGAAGAAATAAGTACGTAAGTCCTTCTATATATGAATGAAAGTTACTGATATGTTCTATTTGACCCAATATTTGTCATAGGGTAATTAAAATTAAATTTTCCATCTTTATTACTTTTTTCTACCTGATATTAATTTAAATTAATAAAAAATATAGCCTTCAAACCACATTTAATGTGTAATATCTTTCAAAAGGTGACAGGGTGGAACTGTTTACTTAGTAGCTATGATAAGTCATAAGACTAACAATTTACTTATATTTTTTACAAACCCTGTTAGCCATGTCATAAAAGGAAAATAAATTTGAAAAAGTAGCAGGAAAGGAAATTACATTTCAAGTTAAAAATATTTAGCCTAGTGATACTCTGGTTATTTTATAAATCTACCTGCTGGTACCTAAACAAGTAACTTCTTAAGAAATAGAAACATGACTAAACTAAAATTATTTGAAAGTGTTCACAATAACTGTTTTTAAAAAGTGTAGATTTAACTTTGAATTTGAAAGTACAAAAAGCCTGTGCTAAAAGTGTACTCTTTAAATGAAGTAAGTAAAATTATAAGAAAAATACCATGGAAGACATGTACATTTCAATACAGGTTTATAGATATGTTAAGATTATAGAAAATGGAGAGAATACATACTCTGTATGTACCTTCATCATAAAATCACATTATTTAAGCACATTAGAGGAAAATATATCTTGAATATTATTTATAAGTAATTTTAAAATATTTTCAATTCCATTAATTCCTATGTTTATATCCACACAATCAAATTCTTAATCAACAGTCCATACTTACGAGAGACTGGAAATAATGACTTCTGTAAACATCACCTAATTATTTTCCTCATGTAAAGTGTTACTGACCTGTCCCCCTTGAAGAAATAGGTTTTCCCAACGTCCTCCCACCAAATGGCTGAATCAATACCATGTGGGGGAATTCCACTTCCAAGGGTAATCAAGTCATGAGGGTAACCAGGTTGAAGAGTAGTGTCCTTGAACACCCAATATTTGTTACCTGTATGAAAAAAGTGAAAATACAAAATAAACTAATTTAATATCATAAATTAGAGTGTATCTGTTAAAATGATGCTTTTAAAATTATTTGGCATAAAATTTATGAAATTACATAGCAGTGTTAACATCTGGGATATTGTTATTTTTTGCAGCATCACTGTTATTTTCAAAAGGGCATATAATTGTCTCTTCATGGCAAATTGTAGACCTTTCTTGTTTTTTTAAATTTACAATTTGCCATAAAGGGACAACTCTGAATTAAAAATCAAGGATTATTTCTCTAGGAATCTGAAGTTCTATTTTTGTTCAAAGTTAAATCGTTCCTGTATTTCTTGCATTCTGTGTGCCCTCATATTTCTTTACTGATTATAACCTCTATTAAAACACTTCCAGATGGCTGATCCTTTCCTTTTGTTATATAAACATTCACAAGTCACTCTGTCGTTTATAAAGCCATCCTTCTTTGACCTGATGCTCTTACACTATCCTTTCTTTTAAGATAACTAAGAGGAGGAGAATGCTTACCCTAACATAAATGTTTATAATTGATGGAGCATGGTAGTTCTAAGCAGAAGACAAACTTGATTGTTTTTATTGCTATTGAAATTATCTACAGACAGCACACTTCCTTATGCCTTATATCTGGCAGGCCCTACCCACCACTCTCCTCAACAGAATGTATCTCAAACAGTCTATAACTATTCCTCACTCCACCGAAAGTTGATTTATTACCTATTGTCCACTAAAATCTTTTGTCCTAAAGTCATTATTCATCAATGTCTTCCATTGAAAAAAATAATACTCCACTGTTATCTATAGACAAAACTGCCCACTTAAAGTACCTTTCTCCTTGAAATGCAAGAAAAGTTTTTGTTTGTTGCCTTTTCTTCTTTAGTTTCTTCTTTCTAGGTTCCTTTTATTTTATTCATTCCTTGATACTGACATTTCTCAGAGCTCTCCTCTCTACCTTCTTATTATCTAGCTATCTATACCTGCACTTCTCTAAATTAAGTAGAGAAGATTTCACAAACTCAGATACAAACAAAAGCCACGCTAGAGAGAACGGGAGTGGAATGGTGGAATATTGAAATATTGAGATAGTTCTATAAAAGTCAGCAAATAGCCAATGCCCTTCTGGATCTGTTATATAACTAGGCAACCTCTTGGATCATTAACTTCTGCTGGGGTTACCATCTCACAAAGTAAATGAGTTAACATCGGAAAAATTATCACAAGTCCTTTCTAATTGAAGGCCTTACTTATTGTAATATTTCAATACTAATCCTAGATGAGGACTATGATAAACTGTAGCTTTCATGCTAAAATAATTAAAGAAAATTAAAACAATGTGTTGGCCTAAAATAATACAAACAAACAAACAATCTAACATACCAAAAAACATCTGCAGGCTGGATTAAGTTAGCACTCTCCAGTTTGTAAGCAGTGGTAATCTCATTTATTCCAAGAGTTTTTACTACCATGTGATATCATTTTAAATTGGAAAAACAAAACAAAACATTTATTGAGTACTGTTGCTGCCCTAAGTTAGGATATGTTTCTACCTATGTTAGCTATAAAGAATACTAAAGAGACAAGACAGACCAGACTGCTACCCTAATCACCCCATATTTGGACTATGCAGATGAAAACAACTGTATGCAATAAATAACTTCAGTCATTGAAAAACTACTGAATGCTAGTTTGAGGGGAAAAAAAAAACCATAAGGGGAATTTAAATAAGGAGATTCCCCTCTGAAGAAATTATACTGAAGTCAAAATTTAAAGAAAGAGAAGATGATACCTATGCAGAGCATGTCAGGAAGAATATTCCAAACAAATGAGAGTTTAGTGTGATCAAGAGGTCGGTGGAGTATAATAAAAAAAAGAAGAGAATAGCAATGAAAACCAACATGATGAGCTTGGATTTTATTATGAGTGTACTGAGAAGCCATCAAGGAGATTAAGTTAGTGGAGAGAAATGATCTGTTTTATATTTCAACAGATGGTTTTGGTCTTCTGTTGAAAGTGTATTACAGAAAGAAGAATGGAAATGAGAAGATCATCAAGGGTCTTTTGCAAGTTTTAATTAATTATTTGAATCATTCATACAACCACTTACTCAGTGTACCAGGCATTCAAAGCCTCAAGTAAACAAGAGAAACAACATTTCCACATCCTAGAGTTTAGATTGTAGTGAGTGTGCAAAGGGAAATGACCTTAAACAAACAAACAGATGAAGATAATGTCAGAAAATAAGTTGACATAAAAATACAGAATAAGACATTAATGTGACAGTGATGGGATGAGGAAGGGACTTCTTTGTATTAAACACAGGAAAGACCTTTTTACACAAGGGGCATGTGAATTGTGACTTACATAATTCAAATGAGCCAGCACAGTGGAGATGATTTGAGAAGGAAATACCAAAAACAAATGCCCTCACAGGAAGACACTGTGTAGTGAGCACCCAATATTATAAGAGTGTGAAAGGTATGACAGTGTATCTCTAAATTATATGGATTGTTACAAGCCAATGTTACCTCAACAACAACAAAAAAGTTTTTTGTTAATAAACTGGACTAAGGTGGCATCAATAGAGAGAAAGAAAAGTGAGTCTCATGATAAATTTTGATGATGGAATTAATGGACATTGCTGATGGGCTGGCTGTGGGAATAAGAAAAAGATAATATCAAGGATAATCTTCAAGTTCTGATCTTTGTCAATGAGAGAATAACAGTATTATAATAATAAACAAAGAAGAATGTGGTAGGTGGGCCATTAAGTGTTCAAATCAAGAATTTGAGGGCCTCCCCGGTGGTGCAGCAGTTAAGCGCTGGTTTGCAGAGCTGCCTGCAGCCTCCACAGGCCAGTTCGATCCCTGGCCACTGGCAAGGGTCCCACATGGCAGCAGACCTTTTCTGCCACCCGCTGCTCCCCTCAGCAGTGTATTTTGTCAGTCTGCCTGTTCTGTTCCCCGCTCTGGCTCTGGTGAATTCTCTCACCCTCCTGCGCTTCTGACTGTACCCAGTGCTTGTATAAATAAATAAATAAATCTTAAAAAAAAAAAAAAAAGAGTTTGTGTTGTCAGTGAGATGTTTAAATGAAGAGATCAAGTAGGCAAATGCATATGGGAGTTTACAGAAAACAGTTTATAAGTCATAAGCATAAATATGATATTTGCTAATTTAGGATTCGATGGAATTATTCAGGGAAATTTTATGAGAAAAATAAAGAAGTACCAATGACTGAGCTTCTAGAAACACATACCCCTCAAAAAGAACATATAGAAGACGAGGGAAGAGTAGAGATATGACGAGAGGGTAGAAGAGGCAGAGAGGAAGACTAAAGTAAAAGGAAACTTCAGAGAAGACAAAACAGAGTAGTCATAAATGCCTACCACTAATCAAAATATCTCTTGAAAGCTGACATTGTTTATACTACTTTGCCTTCAACAAATTTAATTCACAAGTTTAAATATGAACTCATCAAGGGCCTTCCTTCTTGTTTACCTGTTGGGAAGATAGCATGCTAGTTCCGGTGTGGGTAAATAGCACATCAGAAACCTCCCTGTACCTTATATTTTATAACTCGTGGGCCAAAACCTTTAGTTGATTTGATTTTTTAACCTTTCCTTGATCCTGCTCCCTGCAATCCACCTTTATTGCTGCTGGTATTAGGTATGCCTTGCCCTCTTCCCTATAAAGGTAACTGCCTTGTCCTTAAGCAACAAGGTAGGTCCCATTATTCTCCAAACTCTCCTTTTAGACAACCACTGCAGCCCAGCACCAGAAAAATTCTTCAGTTATGGAATATGGTTTGGACAAGGGAGTAGAGGTGAGCAGAGCCATCCATGTCTTCTTGTGAATGAGAACATTGAGACTTTCCCACTCAGCAGAGAGAATTGACCATTCATTACTGAATAGTTAATATTGGAGAAGCCATGATGGCCATAGTCAAGCACATATATGTCAGAGATCAGGAGATCTAATTGAGAGGTGGCAAGTGTAGTCAAGTCCTGAGCTATGTGAGTCCCTTTCACTTACCTACACCTGAGCTGGATTGAAAAAGTGATTATTTTTCTTGAATGGAACGATACTATTCAGTATAAGTTTTTGACCACCCAAACATCACCAACATATTTGACATGCTTGAGTTTAAGTCTTGATTTTAGTAACGGACCATACCCAAGAGCAACACTTTCATTTTCTAATTTGTAACCTTCCTTTCTTGTTTCCATGCTTGAAGTCTGTCTCTCTTTTATCTATCTTCCACAAGGATATTAAAAGGATCTCTGTAAGATGTATACCTGATTTTATCTTTCTTTTGCTTAAAAATTTTAGTGGTTTTTCATTGCATTAAAGATAAACCCAAACTCAACTATGTGTCATTTGTAAGTTCTTCTCAATTTTGGTCAATTATTTCATCTGCACCCCCTTCATTTCCTTTTCTGAATAACTGGCATGGCTCTTTCAAAACATAGCTTCAAATTATTTCTCTAGAAAACCTCGAGTAAGGTGGGCCTCTTACACTGACAGAGCCCAGTCTTGTATCATATTACTTATGATGTGAACTACAAGGACAAACTCTGTATCTGACACCATTTTCCACCATTATATCTAATCTTGAAAAGTAGTAGATTCTTAATAAATGATTACCAATTCAAAAAAGCATGTTAAATATTAGATGAATAATCAAATACAAGAGCAAAAATCTAATATTATGGAATATTAAAGGCTTAATTATTACATTCTATGCATTAGTCTTGAGTCTTGTTAACAGGAAAGAAAATGAATTTTATCACTACAAACAAGTTTGAGAAAATATAACGGCATGCCTCAGTATTGTATTGGAGGACCATGCTAATGATTACATTTGTTAGGAAATACTATCATAAAAATATACAACTATCCTGAGTCATTGTTTTATCTGAATATTTCATAAGGAAAAAACCCACAAAGGTCCAGATTGCTTCCTTAGCAGACATTGTGAATGGAAAACTC